CTTGAAATATTATACTATTTTAAACAAATTAATTTAAAGTTTATTAATAGCAATTTTGTCTTTGGAGTAAATTCAATTTACACCAATTCAAGCTCAATGTCCCTGGTTGGTTAATTTAAACTTTTTGAGTAATTTATTAGGAATATTATATATAAGAGAAATTATGCGTTTCGAGCTCACAATGACTGATAGGGGGGAAGAACTAGTGTTTGTAATAATAAATGTTATTTAGAATGACTGTTTTATAATTGATTAATGTTCACTAAAAATTCAAGTTTATTTCAAAATAATATGGAAAAGAACTATATAAAAAAATTGTTTTACCGCATTGAATTTTTCATGGTTCAGTTTACCCCGGTTTTCCCTAATCTTTAAATTTTTCTGTTTTAATCGAATATAGCACTGAATGTTTTTTTTTTTCAGGTCTTTGGAAAAGGCATAATATATTTATATAAACGGTGTGATTGTGTGTGTGAATGAGTGTGTTGAATAACTAGTAATAATTGTTAGATGACATTTATATGATGATATGCAAACACGTTATTTTTTTGTTACGTTGGTACCAAACGCCATGCAGTGATTTTATTATTAAGTATTACCGGTATATAGATAGTCTTGTTTTACAGTTTATTAATAGTACGATTAATATTTGTAACCTCGACGATTTTGAAACACTGCCCTATCCATTCCATATACACGAAATAGTTTATAAATACAACCTTCTCTGTTTATTATTATACAGCCGTTTAAGTCTTCTCCCCCCCCCACCTCACACACTACTTACCTCCCAATTTAAAACAGTTCATCCTAGTATGATAATGGTCACTGTTGGAAAATGGTTTGTTTTAGGACCTCCTTACTTCTTATTGGTTAAAACATTTCTTTTTGTATTTTCTATTTATTCTTATTGATTGATGTTGTATGTTTGTTTACCTCCTATTTTTCTGTTTCGCAGACGACACACTCTTTTGTGAAAAAATACTTTGTTTTTTGAATTGAACTCCATCTACTTATTATTGCTTTTTCGTCTGTCTATTTCAAAATATTTGTAGCACGTTATTGGTTGCGTTCAGAAAATGACATTTCACACCCACTCTGTTTTACGGTATGGTTTACTAGAACCATGGAAATCATTATTTTTTCAAGAAATAAGTACATAGTTTTTGAATAAAATCCAATCGATTATTTAAAATATTTTTCACTTGATTTCTTGAATAAACTTTCGAATATTGAAAATCTAATGTGCAGGCGCATATTGTGCCTCCTTGCTGGAAGGTACTGTATACTCACAGTATAAGATTGTACTTATGTATTATGTTTAACATCCAAATGATGTAGTGTTTAAATAAATAAATAAATAGAAAAATAAAATAAATATTAGAAAAGATATTTATTTTGTTTGCTTTTCACGTTGGTTTGTTTTAGGTTTTAGACGAAACCATGAACATAGAGCACTTCGATTCGTTTAAAAGAGCCGACGTATACGCTTTAGGGCTAATATTTTGGGAAATATCAAGACGGTGTAATGTTGGTGGTATTTATGATGAGTACCAATTGCCGTTTTATGATGCCGTACCCTCAGATCCTACCATTGAGGAAATGAGAAGGTATATTATTAATTAATTCATATTAAGATAACATACCTCAACTACTTTACTCAGAAATCGTGTGAATTAGAAGCCTGAAATTTGCAAATTGAACTTTTAAGGGATTCAATTCCCATTGTCGGAATCATGAGTACTTTTAATTAGAATTATTAGTTTTGGAGTAATTCTATTGAAATTAGGACAAGCTCTTTATTTTTTAATTATGCCGGACTGATGTTTGATTTTTTGTATAGGGTGGTTTGTGTTGAACGCCAAAGGCCTAGCATACCGAACCGTTGGCAAAGTTGTGAAGCGTTGCATGTCATGAGTAAGTTGATGAAAGAATGCTGGTATCATAACGCCACGGCCAGACTGACCGCTTTGAGGATTAAAAAGACTCTTGCCAACTTCAGAGCGTCGGAAGAATTGAAAATGTGAAGTCAGAGAAACGAGTGCTTTACGTAAGAAATTGTTTTAGTTCATATATTTCAAATAACCTATCCTACTTTCCTTGACATAAATACATCCTCTCCTATTTTCATTTAACTTACTTAGAGACTCATTAATTTTTGATACTGCTCTTATAACGACCCAACAGTTTAGTTAAGTGCAGTTAGTAGAATATTAGATTATGAATTAGGGGAAC